CTCAATACCTTAAATGTTTTACTTTTTGACCGACCTTGTATAAAAGTCTATTTTATACTCTAAATTTGACTCAAATGAATTGAACTCAGACAATAATAAAGGTATTTAAGATACGTCTAAATTAAACGTGCTATCCATTTAAAAAAAATATTGCCCAATGTTTGTTTTAGAAATTTCGACCCATTTAGCAGTTCTTAGCAGGTCTTGAAAAAATAAGAATTAAATTTTTGCACTATTCGAGCACAATGTCCCCAAAAATATATTAAAATCGGTCAACACATGTCTAAAAATGTAGTCAATAATTAACTAGTCATTGACTAAAGTGTTGACCATTAGTTCTGAAGAAGAAATCATGGGAGCCGAAAATCTCTTAAGGCACAAAAACAAAACCAATTATTTCCGATTAATTTAGGTCAATTCCACAATGCTAATTAATCGTCATTAGTTTAATTGATATCGATTCAAAAAACGTTATATCCTCCCATTAATCCGAGGATGTAACACATTAGCATCTAATATCGATTAAGAACTAATTAAGTACGAATATCTAAATCTGAAGCTTAAAGCTCAAGTCAGGAAGGAAACGAAGTCGCGCGGCGCGAGTCGGTCATTCTTATGTTAGTAGTTAAAAAGAAACACAAGAATTTCGATGACTTCCTGTGATTTTTTCAATTGTTTTTTTTTCTCAAACAGCCACAAAAACTCCACATCAAACGATTTCGGGCCGAAGTATCTTACAAGATAAATAAATGGAGATGTTTTATGCTTTTTAGGCTAAATGGAGGGTAACAAACTTAAATAAACATGTAAATGAAATTGAATGAAATATACCTAAATATAAAATCTTATGAATTTTTTTAAAGTAAAAATTAAAAAAAAATTCTCTCTATTATAAACTTCTTCGTATTTTCTTAAAAAATTATAATCACCAACCTCTAAAAACAACAGCCATATCTCCAAAAAATAGCCAGCAAAAATTTTAATCCATAGATACAATTTAAACACTGCGACCCGCACTTAATCGTCACCAAGAAAAAACTGGACGTAAACCGTTAGCAAAGCAAAAAGGTAACTCGATTCGAATTCAGAAGAGGAGAAGAACTAGCGAAATAAAACATTGGCATTGTGTTTGATGGAACCGAAGCATGTCCATGTGTGCAATACTGTTGCAAGTTCAGGTTTTTATCTCACTTTCACTATCAAAAGACTCATCCTTGTTTCTTTCTGGGTTTCTGTGCTTTTTTACGTTCGTTTTGTTTGTAAAGTGTTTCATTTTATTGCTGGAGATATGAAATAGATCATGCATCCGTTTTCACGCTCGCTTGATCTGTGGTGGTTTTGTAATAGTGTAGGAAAATTTATCAATGAAGTGAGGTTTATTATGAAGGAACATTTCCTCAAATAATACAATTGTCGTATTAATAAATGGTTAAATAATGCTGCTGAAGAATAGATCGTGAAGATCCTATACAAAATGGCAAAAAAATGTTTTTAAAGGATTGTTTTAAAAAAATTATAAAACTATAAGTGACAAACGTTTTTAAATTAGCTTAAATTTTGTGTAAGGATAAATAATTATAAAAATCAAGCAAATATGAATAACTAATTAAACATAAAACAAATCTTAAAATTTACATTATTTTAATAATATCTACATTATTTTAATAATAAAAAAGTCTGGTAAAATTATTTAATAATTCAAAAAGTACTTATTTCACAAAGAAAAGTAAATTTTTTAATTTAGTACTTATTGCTGTTACTTTGGAAGAATTTTTAAAAATAAATGCTAGAAAATGGCTCACTAGCGCGATAGTTTTCTGATTAGAATTTAAGTTTTAAAAAACTCGGTAAATCTGACATAATGATAATAACAATAATATTTCTTATACCCTGGATTATATGCAACATAAAATAAATTTGACTATTTCTTTTATGATACTCAGTAGAGCGGGACCTTTTAGGTATCACGCCCTATCATGCATATTAAAAATTTAGGGTTGGAGTATTACGTTTTTTTTTATGAGGCAGAGTGCCCACTTGAAAAAAAAGTTTGGCCTACCATGTGCCCACCCTAGCAACGGCACTGGTCATATGGCATTTTGTAATTAGGTATCGCACCCAAAAATGCAATGCAATGTGCCATTTTCAAGAGACCCTGTATAATTATAAAACTCGGAAGATTTTACCAGAATTAAGTATAAAAAATGTAATGTAAATAATTAAACATAATAGAAACTTCGTATTTTTCAGTCGGTTTATTTTATTTTATGATTTTCAATTCTAGTTTGATTTTTTTATTTCATATGGTTTTATTATTACCAAATAATTATGGTGCCAATTTTTTAAAATTGCCAAAATATATTTAGATATATATATATATATATATATATATATATATATATGAGTTTAATTTTTTTGTAGTTAATTATTTTTATTTTTTCATTAATTTTTATACATTTATATATCAGGGACCCTAATTTATTAGTTATTAACGAATATACCGACAACGACAATATTGGGAAATAGTATATTATGTATTAAGTTTGATAAACACCATTTTATACAAGAATTAATGAGTGTATAGAAAAGTTTATAAACGAGGTGCATACTATACTTTTTCTACTACAAATACTTATTATTATCTTAAAATGATTTAAATCAAAAATTTGTATAGAGCGCCATCTATCAAACAATAAAGGAATCTGCGTGTCACCGTCAAATGTCACATTTTTATAAACACAGATTATAAAGGTAATAAATCGAAATGTATTTCTTGAAAATTGTTAGTTTTTCACAGTGAAAGTAAAGAAAATGTTTTATGAGGACTTTACAGTGGAGTCCGTGCCCGAATTTAAGTTATAGTTTACTGCCGGCAAAATTAAAAGGTCAGTACAATGTTCATATAAACTTTTCAAATATTGGCGTTGAGAAACTATTTAATACTTTTGTATTTTTGTATTGAAATAATAAAATAATTTTCACATTTAGTATTATTTTACAAGAAAGGCACTTTATTTTAACGATTGTATGACATTTGACAACTTTCAACTAACTTAAAAATAACTTAAGCCCGTGACTAAAAACCTGTTGCCAACTTCAGCTCGTGACTAAAGTGCCATAAAGCCACAACTTGTCAATGTGTATTTAAAAGGTCACTTAGTGTCATGGAAACATGTACGATAAAGGGCGTTTTAAAGGTGGGAGTAGAAAAAATATTTAAGAAAGCTATAAAAATTTTATTGTAGATAATTATTTTTTAAATATTCAATATTCAAATTATGGAATTAATAAAATTTAGAAAATTTTAGAAATTATAAAACTTAAATTTTCAAAATCTCCAAAATTTTTAAAATTTACAAAATTTTTTATTTCCAAAATTTCTAAATCCATTATAGGTAATACTTAAGAGAAAAATAATTTCAATTTAAATTCTCTACAAAAATATGTATTTTCCATTACTGTCGGTATATTCGTCAACGACTTATAAATTTTAAAAGAGCGAAACAAGTTTTTTCTATTCATGTTTTTCCATAGGAAATTTCGATTATAAAGCGGACTATTTTAGATTTGATATAGAGAGCTTAACTTAAAAGCGTTTAAGTTCCTGGAACCATAATTAAAAAACAAACCCTATTAAGGACCACCCCAATACATATGTATATGTATATTTTTAACCAATAAAGATATTTTTTTGTTTTGTTTATATAATATCTAAAAGAATATACGAAATAATAATAATCTTGAACTATAATTAAATTGTTTTCTATATTTATTTTTATTCTGATTAACATTGCTTTGTTTAACATATCTCTAAACGCGTATTTTTACACTTGTAAAAATCCATAATTCATAATTTCGTAATCGTTTTCGTTTAACTTACATACATTACAATTGCAAAACGATATCAGCATTGAACGAAAAAATTTTGTACACACATGTATGTGGAGCATCGGTCATGTATGAAAATCATAAATCTATTTAAAAAATCAAACAAATCGTTATTAAATCAAAAACCGTTTACGAATTAAAACATATTAACCTAGATTAGGTAACTTATGTAAAAAAAACTTTCGAAAGCTTCAAGCCGTAACGGTGATTTTTTTATGATTATGAAATTTTTTGCTAATAACACAATTGGACGATATGCATCTTTTTGTTTATGTAGTGGCATATAGCAGCACAATATGGCCAAATACAGCAATTTTACGTACTTTTAATTTCATCTATTTAGCAACAAAGTAAACATTACGGTTGCCCAAATTCATAATTATGTTTAAATTTTATAATTATAATTATAGGAATATTTAAAAATTGTTTTATTGTGATATAAGTCTTTATATGATAGTTAAAAAAATTCCGAGCCCTTAAATCACTACCAGCATTTTAAAAATTCGTTTTTTACATATAAAACCGTTTTTTTTTCACCGGCTCAATTTTCAGGAAACACTACTTGCAACAATGTCCACAAATCTAAGAAGTCGATTTTAACCTACTTTAACCCAACCGATTGGGCTGAAATTTAGAACACACTTTTGGTGCTGGTGACTATACAATCTAGTATACTCAATATTGTAATTTAGGTAAGTGACGTCATACTAAATTTAATATGGAGGCAAAAGAAAAGGTTTGTCAAGCAGAATACCCATGTATTGTCTTGTCAAAATTTTTTAAATTTGAAAATTTCCTAAATTTTTAAAATCTTAAAAAGGTCAAAAATTTTGAAATCATTTCTTTACAACCTCCTTGACCTTCTTAAGATTTTAAAAATTTATGAAATTTTCAAATTTGGAAAATTTTAAAATTAGGAAGACAATACATTGGTATTCTGCTTGACAAACCTTTTCTTTTGCCTTTGTATTTACTAGACGTCATTATAATTTTAATATGGCGGATGTAACTAGCAAACCAACTAACTAAATTTTAAGAGTAAAAGTAAAAAATAAGTAGGAGTTAAAAAACTATTATTTGGTAGAAAAAAAATTGATAAAAAAGTAGCTTACCATCGTGTAGGAAGTTGTTATTGGTATTCACAGGGTTGTTCGTAGGGGGTACAGGGGTAACCACTGGTTTCCTGTCCTCGGACAGTTGGGTGTAGTCGATGTAGTTCATGTCCGGCACGCACATTGAATCGTAGATGGCGCTATGCACCATGTTTTGGCTCAGGGCTCGTTCCCTCTCGACATCTAAAAAAAATTTTTGTTCAACAATTTTTTACGTGCATTAAAATGTTATATAATTTGTCGACATTATATATATGCAAAAATTCCTAATTGAAAAAAATTATAGCCGATCAAGGAGAAGATAAACAAAATTGACAATAATTCGCGATATTTTTTTATTAGATGTATTAAATAATACACAAGGCTTCCAATGAGTATTATTAGTTTAAAGACTAAAAAACCGTCATTAGTTCTTTCATCCGTTGAAAATTACCTATCAATATGGAAATTCGTAATGTCCTATATTAAGTTGTACCATATTTTTTTCACCTTGAAACTAAGAACGAGAGAGTATGCTTTTTGTAGATCATCAAAAGCGAGAAAAATATTTTATAAGTTCATATATTTGTACTATGCTCCAGAAAAATTCCCACCTTTAATAAGGATTGCAGTCAAATAATTGAGGTTATGTATCTGTTAGTTTTACTCCAACTTCGTCTTATTTTCTGTAAAAAATACCTACAATGTATGTATTTTTTGTGTTATAAATTAAGACATGTATACACAAAAAATACATACCTACCTATATATGGGTGATTCTACAAAAGTTGACAACTTGATGTCATCAGTGAATAGAGTAGGTATTTTAATATTTTTTGTAAATATTTTAGTATATTACAAAAGATCCAGGTTTTTTTAACTTGTCCACCCAATTTTAATGTATTTTTTCAAAAGCAAGTTTGTAGAAAAACATAATAAATATTCAAAACATCAGTACCTTGGCGTTTCACAACTCCTGAATCAAATATTGGAGTGATTTTATTTTAAAATATATTCAGTATATCTTAATTTTTTTAATTTCACTACAAACTATAAAACATTAAATAATGTATTTTTCATATTTTATCATAGATTCGAATAATAGCAATTTTTAAAAAATTGATTATCTTTGTACTCACTTTTACCCGTCAGTTCTGTGTTCAATGTTAAAATTCAAAATTCCTGCGAAATATTGAAGTTTACAACGTCAAGTCCTCGTTTTAACTCAAGTGTAGGTAAAAAATTACCTACAGAGCCCGCCCTTTGCACGACAGTCATCTTGAAAACAATGCAAGCGGCGAAGTTGTGGTGGATGCACGTATAGTTCCAGTCAAAATTTCAGTACTGTGGTGAGTGGATATTTTCTTACGTATATATATATATTTCATTGTAATTTATATAAGGCTATATGTGATTTGTGGATAAGTAGCATTCACTAATAAAAAATATCAGTAAAATACTTAATTTCGAATTATAATCTCAAACTTGTATCCCATTCATCAGTACCGTGTCGCCAGTTCCATGTTCGATATTTCGGTCTTTTTTTGCATACTTCAATTTAAATTCTGCTTGCGCAGAACTTGTTTATTTAATGTCATTATAAACTCATATAAATTTGGTGTGGGTCCCATATCTAATAATTGAGATATCGGTATACCCAAAACCCACCAGCCGCCACTGATATTTAATGTATAATATGCTCAAAGTTGCAATAAATTTTATATTTTCCATTAAATTATGTATTTAATTAGTACCCTGGTAAACTCGTCAAATTTAGAAAACACAGATATTTCAGAAACTGTTTAAAAAAGTGACTGGCCCGGTCTGGAACAGTATATATATTATATACTGTTATAAGGTAAATTCTCATATAACTTGTTTCGATGCTGTATCCACTTATTTTTGTGAAAACTAATTCTCGCTCAAGGTTTTTTTCAGTGTAATGAGCATGTAGCATTTTAAGGTAATGGAAACTTAAATTATGACAACCCTAATCTATTAATTTTTTCCTAAAATGCAGGCTTTATGTTGCAAATGTCACGTAAGTTACCGGTCACCAACTGCAATATCCTAACATTGATGAATATTTTAACAAAATGGCTGTTGAAACAACTAATGTTAGTGCTTGATTAACTAAAAATAGACTTAAGATTGACGAAAAATTATTTTAGAACTTTACTGCCGATTTATTTTAATTTACGATTGTTGACTACTTTACTGCCGATTTCGGATAAAATAATTTTTTGTCAATCTTAAGTCTATTTTTAGTTAATCAAGCACTAACATTAGTTGTTTGAACGGCCATTTTGTTGAAATATTCATCGATGTTAGGATATTGCAGTTGGTGACCGGTAACTTACGTGACATTTGCAACATAAAGCCTGCATTTTAGGAAAAAATTAATAGATTAGAGTTGTCATAATTTAAGTTCCCATTACCTTGAAATGCTACATGCTTATTACACTAAAAAAAACCTTGAGCGAGAATTAGTTTTCACAAAAATAAGTGGATACAGCATCGGAACAAGTTATATGAGAATTGACCATAATATATTTATTATATTATCTATGTTCTCATAACAAAATACTGTTTAATTTTCTCCGAAAACTATATAAACAAAATGAGGTCAAAAGTTGCCCAAATTTTGTAGAATCACCCATATGTGAATACAATACAATATATTATATTGGATTGTATTAAAAGCATAACAAGTTAGCGTTAAACTAACAGATACATAACCTTAATTATATGATTGCATTCCTTATTCAAAAGTCAAAGTGGGACTTTTTAATGTGAAGCATGGTAGGCATATCCCTTAAACTTTTCTGTCATATTTTTGTCATTTCTGACATTATGGATTGATAGTTTTAAAACCAAATGATAGTTTTAGTCCAAAATAAGTGTATTGAAAAATTTTTGCGCGTTAAAAAATAAAAGCGGTTAAATTTGTAACAAAGACAATATTATTAAAGTTACTCATTGAGTTTATTGTTAATAATTAGTATTTGCAATAAACAACTTTTCTATTATTATATTGCATTTTTTGAGCAAATAGATATTTCATTAAATGAGTCACTTTTATGTTATGTAGATTAAACGTGTTAAAATCAATAAAAAATATGCAAATAACTATAATATTTACACTTAATTATAATTATAATTATAAAAACAAATCGCTTAAATATACCTATTTTACTTTCTCACATTTATATTATGTACCAACCTATGTAAGACAATATTTTTTAAACCAATGCAATGAGAAGACCCAAACAAAATTCTTCTCAAGCTTTATGAATGGGACTGGACTTAATACATTAAAATAACGTGAGACATAAACTTTTTTAAGTTTATTTTCTTTATAATTATATTACCTGAATTAAAGCACAACTTCAAATAACCTTAATGCCTTTTTTATTTCTCGTACCTTTTTTACCAAATAAATAATTATAATTTTAATAGAGTATTTAGACTTGTTTTTACCTTTTTGTAAGAGTTCGAGGTGTTCCCAAAGGATATCGCCAACAAAAGCTGGCGCTCTTGCAGCGAAAGTGTCTTTTCCCATTGCACAAATGTCTTTTCCCTTCATTCTGAATTGGTGTAAGGGCGATATTTCCAAGGAGAACTCCTTGGCCGCCCATTGCAACCAATGGGCAACGTGGTTTTCCGTCCACTGACGAGGATCTGAAACAAGAAAAATTTTTTTAAAAAATGTTATGGAAAAATGCAAAAATGTGTTGGTTTTCAACCTATATTGTAGTGAAATCCAAGGCCAATCAATGAAAAAAAATATACAGGGTGTCCCAAAAGTCGACACCCAGAAATCTCAGAAAATTGTAAAAAAAATTGTACCGTCATTATTTAAAAGGTATGAGAGCGTAAACCTTGTTTATATTGTTCACTAGGACCTAATGTTTTATATTATGGGAAAATGCATCTTAGAATTTTTACTTTAACAATATGCGCCAACAATTGATTATTACAAAAATAATTGGTTAATTAATTGTTATCCGTTGACATCACACCATAGACAATAATTGAAAGTTCAAATTTAAAATTAACTTCTGTTAGATATTTACATGTATTCCTTTAGTGATTATTGTGATATGTATGTTGTGTTTGGAGGATGCTTAGAAAATGCAAGAGCCCTTCAGTCTGTGGGTGTGTGTGTGTCAATGTTATGTTGTATTTGTTATTTTTTTTAGATTTTTGGTTGTATTAGTTAGTCAGTCTGTCGTAAAATATATTACCTCGAATTTAAGTAACGAAGTAGGTGAATTCATTTTGACACTTTCTAATATTTTTGTTTGTTGCCATGATGATTACGAAATAAACTACCACCTTATTAGTATGCAATGTTTAAAGAAAATATGTGTCCCCTGTATATCTTAAATAATGAAGGTTGATTTTTTTTTAATTTTCTGGGTTTCCTAGAGGTTTCTAGATGTTGTTGAGCGACTTTTGGGCTTCGGGCTTCTACTAAAATAGGAGGGTGGGTCAATAAGTCTTTATAACAATAGAAAAACGCATCAATAGACTTTGCCACCGTTTCTCAAATTTTTTCGTAAAAAAAAGATTTCTAAAGGCCTTCAAATTGGGCAACTGTTTCTGATAAGACCTTCTCGTACATATTGCAAAAATTTTTGCTACTAATGGAGTTATATCCTTGATTTTGTAAGGACTTATTGACTTACCCTCGCATTCAAATTTGTATAATTATATTAAAGTTAATCACTCATTTAAGTAGTTAAAAGCCAAATTAAAGATATGGAAAATCGATCATTGCTTTTAAATTGTTTTGTAACCAAATTTACCAACTCATAACTAAATATTATCATCAATTGATGTGGAATCTTTTCCCCTTTTCACGCGAGTAAATTTTCCATTTCTGCACGGGAAGTGAAAAGTCGACTTATTATTTCCTGCAGGAGAAAGCGTCTTACTAGCGCTCCTGCAGAATTTATCAGGAGCGTATTTCCGGAACTCAGTCCTGAGAATTTTCTCGATTTCTATATTCGAAATGTTAAATTGAATCGGTTTTAAGAACATTTATAAATAAAGACATCTATTTTAAAACAAAATAGGATGACTTTTGCGTAATGAAAATATATTTTGTTGTGAACAATAAAGTCTAATGACGTACATACACTAGACTCATAAAAGTAATAATGGATTCACTTGGCGTATTATTCAATTATCCTCCATCATACTTAATAGAGCTCCTAGAAAACAAAAATAAAACTATGAACCAAACACACTTTCGTAAAAAAAGTCATTAAAATTCAATAAACTTCTCTACACAAGGATTTTTTATTAAAAAATCTAAATGCCAAGATCGTTTTCTATCTTCCAACGTATAAATACTTTACGTGTTCACTGGTCGTTAGATGGATAAAGGCAATGTCGTCATTAAATAAAGCAGGGGACAGGCAATTATCGACACGTAGATATAAAGAGTATGTATTTTTATTAAGCTACAACATAATATGATAAAATACAAGATTGCTGCGCAAATTTAGCATCTTTGACGTGTGATACAGTGTTGCCGATAGTTAAATCTTGGCCAGGGTTGCCAGGTCATGTTACTTGTTTTTCCCTAAAATAGACCACAAAAATTACCTAGCCTTTTCGTATTTGTATAATTTATTGGAAAAGGATTTTGCAAGGCATTTAAAGCAAAAATTTGACAATAAGAAAAAACTTAACGTAAATAAATATAATGCGCCAAGTATCCTTCTTTGTATGGGTATTTATTTATTTAAACAGCTAGGTCAGTTTAATTAGAGAAAAGTTATGTAATTATAATTGTATACAAGTCTAATAAAATGTCATTTAAATTTTTAAAAAAATCAGAGGTTCTTAAATAATTTGAAAAAACTTTCGCCTACTAGATTTTGAGTTACCACCACCACCTTTAGTTTTATCTATAAATTAAAATTTTACATGGTTGGATAAAAAAAATTAAGGAATCCAACGATGTATTAAACAACATAACTTATGGCGGCCAGTACACAAACAAAAGATGGTGTGGTAACTCAAAATATAGTAGCGAAGAAATTGGATAAAAATGTACATTATTGTGTATGTTTACATGTAAAACTTGCTTTTTTTCAGAATTTCCAAGAAAAACAATTTTTGGTTTTTGAAGGGTTTTTAATTTTTTTTCTCAAATATTTTGACCGCTGGCTTTTTTATAAATTTCATTTTAATAACCTTTGAACTTTTCTCTAGTTTAACCGAACTTGTAGCTCTTCAAATAAAAAAATACCCATAGAAGTACGAGATGCGTTCAGAAAATATCGGGAATTTTCGTTTTTTGAAACAAATATTTATTTATTCGTCTACATTAATGTTGTCGCCTTCAAAATAGTCCCCATTGGATATTATGCACATGTGCCAGCTATTCTTCCAATACTCGAAACACTTCTAAAACTCGATCTTTGGGATAGCCTTTAGTTCTTTCAGCGATGCGCTTTTAATGTCATCTATGCTTGCAAAACGACGGCCCTTTAAGGTTCTCTTTATTTTTGGGAAAAGGAAAAAGTCAGACAAAGGCATGTCTGGCGAATATGGAGGCTGGGGCATCATTACAGTATTGTTTTTGGCCAAAAATTTTGTTCAAAATTTAACAATTTTAGAACTAATTTTGCTGCAACGCGTTTTATATCCAAAACATTCGAAAAAATTTCTTGAGATGATACAATTGATATACCAACATCATCAGCGACTTCTCTGATGGTTTATAACCATTTCTTCCACTTTTTCCATGTTTTTATCGGTTGTTAATGTGCTTGTGCGTTCGGTGCGCTCGTCATCTTCAACGTCTTCACGGCCATCTTGGAAACTCTTATATCACTTGTAAACTCTTGTTTTACTTATAGCAGACTCCCTATAGGCCTTTGTTAACATTTCACAGAATTTGTTTAATTTTTTAAGCAAAATTGGATACAAATTCTTTGATCCATTTCTTTTAACGAACGAAAAATCGCCGAGCTCATAAAACACGTCTAAGCTTAGCGGCTGCCAAAGACAAAGTAAACAATGAAAACAGCTAAAGTTTTATCATAGTTCGGGGGCATGTATACCAACATAATAAAGAAAATTTTATGACAACCGGACACTCTGAACCCGTTATTTTCTGAACACACCTCGTATATGGTTTAAAACAGACTTTAAAACAAAACATGTAAGAATTCTCGATAATTTGGCAGAAAGTCATCCCTATATTGTATATAATTATAAAGGGTCAAATTTGCCTAGATTTGATCAATAATGGGTAATAATTTCAATTTTCCCTAAATAGTGCAAAATTCCATAGAAATTTTATTAGCATCACTGATCGTGGCTACTAGATTCAAAAACTAATTTGACAGATTAAACTTAACTTAAATAAAATGCAGCTGTGATGTGTGGTATAAATTTTAATGGGAAAAAATCCTGATTTCCAAGGTCAGGGCCATCGCTAATGAACTAATTTTTATATTTTTTTCACTTTTTATGTCCCAAGATTCAATTTAAAAAGTTTATTTGCCCATCGGAGCATATACAATAGAGGTCGCATATACAACACATACGATATGTCGAAATAAAGGAATTTAATTAACCAAGCTGATTTTACGGTCACCGCTCATCGCCAATTTTGCAACAAAAAACACACAACCCTACACAACGTTGCCAAATGCCATGCATAATCATGTTACAATTGGGTGCACCACAAGGTTCCAAGTTGGGACCCTTTATCATATTTATCACATTATTATTATTTATAACACCAAAAGACGTTTTGTACATCTCAACGCTGTTAAACTAGAATAGTGCATTGCTAAAATATTTTCTTCTCAGCAATAAATTTGCAACCTTTTACATTTGACAACAGTGTTTGGACAAAATGAGCTGTTCCATTGTGAGATTTCGCTTTTGATAGTCGGAGAGAAAGGATTCGGTCCAATAAGCTCCAATTGTGTGTCTCTTTTTGCTCGCCTAATACGCCCACGCGTCAATTTTCCTGCTGCATGCGGCAGGAGTTTTCGAATTCGACATGCATCGCCGATTCATTTGTGCTCGGCAATTTTAGTTGATCCCTTTTGTGTTTTTTGAGTTATTAAAAATGTTTTAAAAGCAGGTATATGTGTAATTGAATTCCATCGTTACTCCAATTGTTTAAATAAATAAAAAAAAATTCGGTAACTGTACATTTACGAGCCAACATGATCTTAATCATTTAAGACAACAAACAAATAAAAAAGAAGAGAATACGTTAAACAATAAAATCGCTGTTTTACGATCAAAAGAGCATCAATGTTGACCGTTGAACAACGATTAAAAAAACGCAATCGAAACCATCTGATACAGCCACAGATAAGATTGTTAAAGTTCACTCAAATCGAAAAAGCTTTTATTTTGCTCTATAATTTTTCTTTGTGTTACAATATATTTTAAATTTGATTTAAAACTGTTTAAATAATGTGGTAAATGAAGCATTGAATTAAATTATCTCAAAACATCTTTTTTATTCGAAAATGTGGTGAAGAAAACTGAATAATCATTCACTAACGACCCATAACTGATCGTATATAAAACTGTTTATTGCTACCATTGAAGTTGACCATAAAACTTCGTTTTCCTTGAAAAAAATACCTCAATTTTCTAATAAAATGAAATAACATCAAAAACTCAAAACAAGAATTATTTATTGTGTTCGCTAATTTTAGTCATGTTATCTTTATGGTGTCATTGCATGCGGATGCTGCAACGTTACACTTTTCTGAGTTTGAATGGACCCAAAAGCGGAAACGGCACTCGCTGACCCCAAAGCCATACACACCTAGGTATACTATATCCGGTCGACTTTAAAGTCTATTGGAACACTTCAAAACATCAGTGAAAATTGATACTCGAACAAATTGAGTTTCGGTGTACCTCAAGGGTCCAAGTAGGGGCCCTTTGTAATTGGATTGTATCATAGATGAGGCCAATCATTATCTTCACTGCAGTATTGAGATTCTTAATTTTTTTGATAAACTGATTTCTTAGTTCTAACCCACAATTAACAGTTTATTATTTTGTAGCAACAGTTACAAATTAAATTTTTTCTCTTTATGTGCCATATAATTTTCTAATGCGTTCATCATCCATGGTACTACCTGTTTTATATAATAACACGCTGCCTGTAGGCTTACATCTTTGATATGTTGAGTGTAAGGTATAATTAAGAATATTTAGAAGATTTCTTATATAAATTGCTACTGTTGCCTTAGTCATGTTTGGACCTAGTAAAAAATCCATAAAGAAGACTAAAAAACATCCAGAAATAGTGTAATTGAAAATACCAAGAGTGTAATTTACATTTTGGAAAACATCTCACCAGTGTTAATGTATATTTTTATATCTTTAATGTTCAATAAATAAAGGAACATGCTCCAGCTGTGGTGTATTTATACAAATGTTTGACACCTAACATTCTTATCATTTGGGGCGAATTGGCATATTTCGAACAAGATATAAACGTCATTGGGACCACGACCGTCAAACGTTTAAATTACCGATGGCAAACAAAAAAATCTCGACCCGTCGTCTTATTGACACGACAAACAGCGGTTCGAACGCGATCAAAGGGGGCCGCTCCACGCGATTGTTTGACGGCATACCAGCTCAAACAAAAATCGTAGTGAAGTCTTCAAAACCATTCAAACAATTGTTTCTGACTAAATTGTGGCCCAAAAAATTAAGTTTATTGTTGTTTGCTCGTAAACCATTTTTTCTTTTGAATGTTTGAACTGAAAGATGGGAGATATGGTGGGTCGTAAGTGGTTTTTAATGTTTTGAGAGAAGTAATTGATCAATTTGACCACATTTTAAATTTGTAAGATTTATGGTATCTATATATTTTTTTATATTTTTTACGATATTATAAATTATTAAGATTGCCATATTGTTATAAATACAGTTTATCCAATTAAAAAAAAATGGGAGTTTTACGTTTTTAAACGCCTATAAATATATGAAGAGCATGAAGTCGCAGTATGAGGCGCAGTATGTGCCATAAATGATTTATAAAATATATTATAATTTGTAAAAATATTTATATTTTGTTTGAAATATATATTTCTCAACTTATTTTTTAAGATTTATATTAGTTTTACAAAAATATATACATATGTAAATATATATAAATATTTACTAAATATATATTTAAATGCATAAAAATATATTTATTTTACGCAAATATATACAGTGTTGGTAATAATTTTTGCAACCAATGTAAAAAAAATATAACTCTAAAACGCCCTTATTATTCTTTATGAAATTTTGAATAAAAATTTAATAATGAAAAAACGTTCGAAAAATAACTTTTAGGATAATTTTTATTGATGTAAATAAAAAATATGCTGTTAAAGACCGTATTTTTGTTAGTATACCCTGAAAATTTTGTACAAATTAAACGAACAGTAACGAAGATACAGCGCTTCAAAGTCGGTAAAAATGGCCCCTTTTTGATTATTTTGCTGAAAAGTGGTCATTTTTGACGACTTTGAATCGCTGTATCTTCGTTGGTGTTCATTTGATTTGTACAAAATTTTCAGGGTATACTAACAAAAATACGGTCTTTAACAGCATATTTTTTATTTACTTAAAAAAATTACCCTAAAAGTTATTTTTCGAACGTTTTTTTCATTATTAAATAAAAGGGCTTTAAAAATATTTTCTCGAAAAACCCTCGAACACTTAAACTGAGATATAAGTTGAAGGATTTTTATCCAAAATTTCATAAAGAATAATAAAGGCGTTTTAGAGTTAGATTTTTTTCAGTGGTTGCAAAAATTATGGCCAACACTGTATATATATATTTTAAACAAATTATTTATATTTTAAACAAAATATTTATATTTTTACAAATTATTAAATATTTTATAAATCATAATTATGGCACAAACGGCGACTCATATCGCAGAGGTAAGAAACGTAGATTTGTTCGTTTTTTGCAACAAAAAATAAAACCGTTTAAAATTTATCTTTGATGTTTAAGTATCAGGAGAGCATGAAGTCGCAAAGGTTAGATTGCTTTCAATACAATATGGCGGTCGCTTATTTTTTCACAACCTCCTTGGGCATGAAATGAAAGGGTTTGACGAGAAAAAAAAATAAGGCGAGTGAAAATATACAAATTCATCAAAATAGGTACCTATCCAAAATTTACAAAGTTTCTAAAACATTTAAGATTCGAAATTACAAATAGTAACTAGTCCGTAATTAGTAACAAGTTGGTAACTAATTAGTCAGTAAGTAAATGGAATTGCTTTTATAAATTTGTTTTACTTCAGTAGTGTGCTTATAAAGGTGAGACTTTTTTCATAAAATCCTAAAAAAAAATTAAAGCAATGTTGCTACGTTGTAGAGGATGCAGTTTTTCCAAATTTCAAGAATGACATTTTTCCAAAAATGAGATATTTTTTCCAGAAATTGAGTAATTTAAGATTTTTTTACAGAAGACAGGATAAATGTACTTCTGTTGCCACCTTGTGATTCATGCATCCAGTGTTGTTATATTACAAAAATGCAGTGTTGCCGTATTGCAAAATTGCAACGTTGTTAAATGTAATTATTTCAAAATCATTGTTTGATTTTTTTTAAGAAAATTGTTCTTACCTTTGGTTATGTTTAATCGGATCTGTTCCTTCTCCCACGACGCGAATGACGCTTTAAGCGCCTCGGCCATAGTTTTGTTTGTTCCCGGCGTCAGTGGCGGAACCTGCGTCGGGATATCTGAAAAATAAAATACAAAATTTAGTAAGTTTACTTAAAATTTAAAGTAATTTTTTTCCTTTACCAGATAATTGCACAAATGATGAATGAAGGTAAAAGCTAACCATAAAAAAGTGTTACATAGAAGTATGAAAGTATACATTTTAGTACACATTTTTTTTCGGGAAAAAAGTTTATGACTGAGAGGTGCTTTCAACAAAGGGTAGTAAAATCGTGGGTTCTGGGAAAATTTAATTTTAGTATTGCGAGTAATTAGCATAACAGCAGAGCTCAAGCCGATCAATTGGCCAAGTGCAAGCGGGAACTAGTTTTAGTTATTTCGAAGCGAACTGGATGCAGCAGAAAGAGACCAGGTGCCTCGGGCTATAAAATTTATTAATTACCCGACGACTAGAGTACGCTTTTTAAGAGAGAAAAGCGCTCCTTCGCTAACGGTTGTTCCTTTTAAACACTTATTATTTATCATGACTGCGTATTAACTATATACCTACTATAAATACGTAAAATTCAGTTTGCTGCAGGTCGAAATTATTGTTGAAAAGTAGAACGATTAATATGCATGCTTTGAGTTTAAAGTTTTTCGATATTTTTTTGATGATAATAATTATGCGAGAGACAGGTGGCTTATTGAGAAAAAGTGGTCACGATAATGCTCGCCTCACCTGCCCACTGTTTTGCAAAATAATAATACAATGTGTACGAGTAATAAATTATCTGAGATCGTAAATTCTTTAATTTTATATCAAAATATTACAACATTTTTCTTCTTATCCAAATAATTGTTTTTTTAATGTGTTTTGCATTATAAATTTACACAAAGAACATAAAATAGGTGGCCAAATACTATTCCCTTCTAAAGAAATCTTAAATAAAAGAGCAGATATTTCCCAAATGAGCTCACGATTTTTGACGTTTAAAAGGAAAATAATATAGACCAGAGGAGTATATATCTGTTATTTATATCAAGTCAGGTTATAAAATTTTTTAGGAAAAAAAAGAAATAATAATGCATAGCCGCCGCTTGAGACCACGGTGAACTTGAATTGCAAAAGAGTGGCCAAGAATTTATTAAAAAAAATTTCACTCCATATTTTTGTGGTAATAATCTATAAAGGGTTTAAATGATATTATATAAATTAAATTATTTTAAAAACTGTTTAAAATATTATTACCTATAGATGCAATTTTAATACAAGTTTTATATAAACTGCTCGTCATAAAAAACGACGCACCTAGTTTTTTGGAAAATATTTGAAAGCTCGTTATTGGAAAATTACTGAATCGATTTTGAAAATCTTTGAAAATTCTGAATAGCTGATTCTTTGATTCTTATGTCTAATTTTGGGAATACGATATTTTGCACATAGCATTATACTACAGGGTGTTAAACGAAGAGATGCATTTTTTTCGAAATTTCAAGTTATTCCCATTCATAGGGCAGTTGACTTTGATAGTCGTAATACCTCTCCCTGATATAAGTTGGGTAATCCCTCGGAACGTTTTCGAGATTTTGTGGATATCTTGGCTAACTACGATTACATGCCAATTTTTTGAAAATTGTCCTTATTCCCCAGTTTAGTCCAAAAAATGAGCAATAGTGGATTCTTTGACTTACGTCTAATTTTGGGAATACGATATTGTGTACATGACATTATACTACAGGGTGTTAAAAAAAGACATGTTTTTTTCCAAAATTCCAAATCCCCATTCACAGGGCAGTTGTGCTTGATAGTAACAGTTAGGTAATCCCTCGGGACGTTTTCGAGATTTTGTGGATATCTTGGCTAACTACGATTATATGGCAATTTTTCGAAAATTGTCGTTATTCTCCATTTTAGTCCAAAAAATGAGCAATAGTTGATTCTTTGAATCTTATGTCTAATTTTGGGAATACGATATTGTGCACTTAGCAAAAAGAGATGTTTTTTTTCCAAAAAGAGATGTTTTTTTCAAAATTCCAAATCCCCATTTACAGGGCAGTTGAGCTTGATAGTCGTAATACCCCTCCCTAATAACAGTTAGGTTTTCGAGATTTTGGGGATATCTTGGCTAACTACGATTATATGGCAATTTTTTGAAAATTGTCGTAATTCTCCATTTTAGTCCAAATAATGAGCAATAGTTGATTCTTTGACCCTTATGTCTAAGTTTGGGAATACAATATTGTGCACATAGCATAGCAAAAATATTTTCATATTCGACGAAAAAAATGACAACAATAATTGAAGCGATGAAAGTCAAAACCAGATATGCACCATATTTTTTAAACTTTTATGCTCAACCGTTTGTAGAAAATTGCATGAATATAGCCTGCATAAGTTTACGAGAATAATTTTGTTTGGTTTGCGTTTTTATTTTGAATTTCACCAAAAAAAATTGCTTTCATTTCAGATTTAATGAATCACGCAACGTTCATAAACTGAAAGCACGTTACCTACCTTAAAACTCTGTGTTGATAACTAATAGATACCTTCCGTAGTTTGCTCATTTTTGTGACTTAAGAGGAGAATAACGTGAATTTTCGAAAAATTGCCATATAATCGTAGTTAAACGTGCCGAGGGATTACCTAACTGTTATTAGGGAGGGGTATTACGACTATCAAGCTCAACTGCCCTGTAAATGGGGATTTGGAATTTTGGAAAAAAAAACATCTCTTTTTTTTAACACCCTGTAGTATGTAGCTAAGTGCACAATATCGTATTTCCAAAATTAGACATAAGAGTCAAAGAATCAACTATTGCTCATTTTTTGGACTAAAATGGAGAATAACGACAATTTTCGAAAAATTGCCATATAATCGTAGTTAGCCAAGATATTCACAAAATCTCGAAAACGTCCCGAGGGATTACCTAACTGTTACTAGGGAGGGGTATTACGACTATCAAGCACAACTGCCCTGTGAATGGGGATTTGGAATTTTGGAAAAAAACATCTCTTTTTTTAACACCCTGTAGTATAATGTCATGTACACAATATCGTATTCCCAAAATTAGACGTAAGTCAAAGAATCCACTATTGCTCATTTTTTGGACTAAACTGGGGAATAAGGACAATTTTCAAAAAATTGGCATATAATCGTAGTTAGCCAAGATATCCACAAAATCTCGAAAACGTTCCGAGGGATTACCCAACTTATATCAGGGAGGGGTATTACGACTATCAAAGTCAACTGCCCTATGAATGGGAATAACTTGAAATTTCGAAAAAAATGCATCTCTTCGTTTAAAACCCTGTAGTATAATGCTATGTGCAAAATATCGTATTCCCAAAATTAGACATAAGAGTCAAAGAATCAGCTATTCAGAATTTTCAAAGATTTTCAAAATCGGTTCAGTAATTTTCCAATAACGAGCTTTCAAATATTTTCCAAAAAACTAGGTGCGTCGTTTTTTATGACGAGCAGTTTATTAATAATCTTAATTCTGTACAAATTTCATTTTAATTGGGCGGCGATTGTATTCTGGTTTTATAAAGTTTCAAAAGTATTTAACTTTATTGTTAAACATATTTTTTTAGATTGAAAATGTACTTTTGATTCTAAATATCTAAGATCCCAGGGTAATAAATCTAATCAATTACGTCTTGTTTGTGCTATACCTATTTTCGCCGCTACTGATTTATTCAGATTAAAATTTTTTCTTAGTCAAGATTATTAAAACCCAAAAAATCTTCACAAATTTTATAAAGATTAATTTAATAATGTAATTTTTTATATACTTTTTCAATATTTTTATATTTAAACCAGGATAAAATCGCCGTTACCAATTGAATTAAATAAAAAATTTGTAAAGACTCAAGATTATTTATATATAAAACAAGCAGCCACTAATGACTATAAAATCTTATAATGATATTTTAAAAACTTTTTAAAATAAAGTTATTTATAACTTACTTTAACAAGATTTTAATTATTTAAACCCTTATAAAATCGCCGCCACTAAACCAACCAATTGAATTAAAATTTGTACAGAATTATTACCACAAAAAAAATTTCATAATGATATCTTAGCTATTTATTGAATTCCAGTCCACCGTGCTCTCAAGCGGTTGCCGCTACACAATATTATTTTTCTACTCCCACCTTTAAAACGCCCATTATCGTACATGTTTCCATGACACTAAGTGCTTTATGGCGCTTTAGTCACGGGCTGAAGTTAGCAACAGGTTTTTAGTCACGGGCTGAAGTTAGTTTTAAGTTAGTTGACAGTTGTCAAATGTCATAAAATCGTTAAAATAAAGTGCATTTCTTCTAAAATAATACTAAATGTAAAAATTATTTTATTATCTCAATACAAAAGAATTAAATAGTTTCTCAACGGCAATGTTTGAAAAGATTATATGAACGTTTGTACTGACCTTTTGATTAAGCCGTAGTAGTGCATTTAACTATAGATTTAACTGATAAAGCGTTAAACAATGTTCGTTCTTTTACTGTGAAAAACTGTTTCTAAATCGATTGTTAGTCTATTTTCAAAGGATAAATTTTAATTTACACAAAAAAATTTAAGATTTTAACGCCGGTAGATTAGAAATTCTAACAGGAATTTCAATAAATGCAACTGTCACTTTTTGTACCTTTAACATTTCCCGTGTAAAAATGTTTAATACTTTGGTATAATATTATGCCATTATAATAATAAAAAAATCTAAGGATATTTTAATATTTAAAATTATCAATAATTGTTTAAATAATTAAAAATGTTTATTGGATGGTTATGTTATAACCATATACTTTATGTTCGTATCCCAAGTAACATTTTTAGTTTTATTATGGTCTTCAAAGTTTTATTATGGTCTTCAAGAACGCTTTAAAACAAAATTTTGTTTTAAAGCGTTCTTGTAGACCATAATAAAACTAAAAATGTTACTTGGGATAGATGTCGCTTTATACAAATATTTAATTTAAATTATTTTTTAAATAATATTAAGTATTTGTCGTAGAAAAAGTATAGTAAGCAACTCATTTATAAACTTTTTTATTTAATTAAGCCTAAATTAAAT